GAATTTGAATGTTTATGTCGATGGTGTCCCACTTAGAGCAGACTGAACGTGGGTATGTCAGTTTCACGTATGTGTAATGGAGTCGTTGGATAGAAATAGCATGCTAGCATGCGATCATGTGTTGGACTCATCATCTGTCTCTGCCTGCCATTCATGCATTAAAGGCTTTACCAGAAATATATGCTTTTTTTTCTAACTTGGGTATTTGACTGCACATGCTCTTTTATTCGCCAGCAACTGTATAGAGCTTCTCAACCTATACAAACTTCTAATTCAATGCTTACCATTTCTTTTCTCACTCGAAAAGCTTATGTTTATTCTTTCTTTTCCTTGTTACGTACCCCCTCAAAAAACAATCATGGATTTCACGTGGACGAAGGAAAAAACCATTATTTTAACCTTCTCACAATTCAATTCTTTCATATAAGTTCTCTTCAAATTAATTTATATATAAAATAATCCACAAGTAAATCATCAAATAAATCATAGTGCGTGCTTCTGTCGGACATTAGATTGAATTATTGAACAATTATGGTTGACCACCCAAAACAATATCATCCGTAGTCGACTTTAGCCCTAGTCTTGAATATAAATCTCTCTTAGACAGGTTTGGACCTAGTTAGCCTAAAATCCATAGAAACTATTTTTTCTTTTACAAAATTCAACAACTAACCTTGGTTAGCTAGTGTAACACCAAAAATTAAAAGTTAAGCAGAAGACAATGGTTGTTTACTCTTTATTCAAACAAGTCTAGATTAGAGTTTATCTCGTAAAAATTTAACAAACTTTCACCAAGTTCGATTCTAAGTTAAGAAGCCTACTGAATCTAAACTTTTGTTTTCCAATTCGAGTTAATACATTGTTTTCCAGTTCGAGTTATACGCACCACTATTCGTCAAATTTTAACCTACTCCCTTTTGAATCCGCTCGATGATTTTTTGAGTGAGTTTTGAAAATGAATTTAGTTTAGTTTGTGCCTTTTAAAATTTTGACTTATTAAAAATATATTTTAGCATGTTACATAGGAAATAGGAGGATTAAACAAAATATTGATTAATTTTTATTTTATGAAGTGCTTCTCGATTTTATTTTGTCAGCCCACCGACCATATAGGGTTTTGGTTATCATAGAACTTAGCTATAGGCCTATTCAGCCCAAAATTCCCTTTCCTTTCCCCATGGACAACAACGAATCTATCTTTTTTTGTAGAAAAAAAAAAGAAACAACTAACATTAAAGTAGGAGGGTCCGAGTACACAAAAGTACCAAAGAGAAAGTGAAACATACAAAAAAGTGTTGAAACTAGCCTAGTGTTCCAAGTCAAACTCAGAGTGACTTGATTTATTTGCTTAAACTCTGCCATATATGTAAGATCTTCATGTATTTCCTGCACGTTTCACACAATCATGAAAATCTACAATAATATTCTCATACAACGTAAAAAGAGATGCTAGTATTTAAGAAACTTAACTATTTTGATTTATTGTGGCTGCTGCAGCCATGGACGCAGCGACTCCACCAGGGGTAGTTTTCATGTCCAACTTGTTCCTCAGCTCAGCTCCAATCACTCCCTCTGCCTCTTCTGCGTCAACGCTTTATCAGCTTGCAGTTTCTCCCTAGCATCCTACATTCACAGTTACAGTTAATTTCTCATTCATGGTGAAAAAAAAAGAGGTAAGATTTGTTAATTACTGTTAAAACATCAGACAAGGTTGTCTTGTCGGACTGAGGCAAAGTGCGTGTGTTACGTGTGGCTGCTGACTGGGCCCTGCGCCCCAACCCCCCACTCTCTGTCTCGTTCTTCCCTGTGGCTCTCATTTCGGCCACTTGTATTGCGGCGGCGTCGCTTTCATCCACCGGCTTGTCGCCCGCTCCGGCCACCGCAGTCGCTTCCAGCGCCTCGCCGATGGTTATGGCATCACGCTCCAGCGCGGTGCCCGGGGTTTCCATCGGAATCTCGGGCTCAACGAATTGCCCCACCACGTGTCCTCCCACCGTTTCAGTGATGACGCGTTGGCCATCCACTTTGCCTTCGGAGACGCTAACGCCTTGCTCCCTTGCCACGGCGGAGAGTTCGCCACGACCTACGTCGCCGTGGAGGACGTTGACGGCGGCCGCGGATTGCATGACGGAGGCGGGGCCTCCCTTTAGAGTTTGGCCTAATATCAGGTTCTCTTTAGCTTGCATGAGAGATGCGTCTTTTGGGGCGATGGGTTGGGATGCCAAATCGCCGGAGACGTCAAAAACGTCGGCGTACTTGATTGGATCCGCTTGAGGCCTCTCGGGCTGCTGCTGGCTCATTGTGATTAGTTGAAGAGAATGGATTGTACGATTTTTGTTGTATGGGATGGTTTTGGTCTTGGGTAGAGACTTGGAATATATATATAATATATATATATATATATATATATATCCCAATATAATGTTTGTTCGATACTAGAAGAGAAGACACGATAGAGAGAGAGGAATTTACACTTGTCAAATGGAAACAGATGATGATTCAATGTTTTAAGTTAACAGGTGGCGCTAAGTGAACAAGAGCATAACACATGGTTATGAATCCATGTTCTAGAGCCACCAAACAGATATACATTGCGGGGCTTCATTCTTGTTTTTTCTTTTCTTTTCCTCTCGCACAATTCTATCATCATGCATTTTTTTATCTGATATTACTAAAATTAGTAGAATCTTAATCTATAAATAAATCATGCAGCTTCCATATTGTGGACGCTTGAAATGATGGAAATAGTAAGCGTTTTGATTATGGGAATATATATTAACATCAAAATTTATCACAAATTTGACACTTGTCTTTTTTCACATAGTTTCACATCAAAATTTATAAATATACTTATATTCATGGTATCATGGTACCAAAGTTAGCATCATCATCAACAATCAATCAGTGCTATGATCTATAATTTATTTGTTATTTTCCATACTTGATAAATTAGCATAGACTTTATGGTAGCATATAGAGGATCTAAAATGAGTGAAGATAAACTTACAATCAATTCCTCTTGTGAAATAAAAAGAAACATGCAATGCATCACGCATTATGCTCTAACAAAAAACATTGTGCATTTATCTGGTTTAGAGTTAAGCATAATGCATGTATTCTTCACTTGATGTTTCTTTCTAATTTTGATCACATGGAATTGCAAGGAAGTCAATGAACAATTTTTCACAAGAGGAAAAGTATATGTAGGTATACATATCTTCACTCATTTTATATGTAGTATATGTTACCAGAGTCTAAAGTAATTTATTAAATATGAGTAACAGCAAAAAAATTGTAGATTGTAATAACACTGGTGTTGACTTCTATACCAAAAACTAAGTATAATTATAACTAGCTAACATTATATTATGTTTTAGTATTTTATGTTAACCATTTTTGTACATTTTTTCTTGATAAATGAAAGCTTTATTTTCAGTTTCATTAAAACAAAATTATTGTGTGCTACCAAGCGATATTAATTTGAGTGGATTAGAATATATAATACCATACATACATATATCTATATATATATATATATAGATTCAGGCTTATGGTAATACAGTTTGTAAATTTATTAAATCACTTAAATTACTTTTGCTTAATTAACTTAATTTATTATATATTAGGATTCTTAACTTTTTTTTTGTTTTTATATTTTTTGTATTCAATTAAGTTTTTGTATGTTTTTAAGATTCGATTCAGATTATTACTTTTTAAAAATTGGTCTTTTTGATTTTTTTTTAAATTATTGACGTTAACGATGTCTTAAAATGAGTGGGTTCCTACACAGAAAATAACTCGATTTCATTTATAAAAATATAGAAACTCAATTAAGTTAAAATATAAATATAAAAAACTTAATCGAATAAAAAAAATTAATTATAGATCTAGATATAAAAGAAAATTAATGATTAAATCAAAATTTAATTATTGATTGATATTGTTTTGTAAGATTTATAATATAGGCTTCTTTAATATACGTTATATGTATAATGCAGTTTTGATAGCATTTCCTTTAATTAAACAGTTATATTGATCTAAGTATGTATAACATAAGTTTAATAGATAAACGTGAATACATTGGCAAAATCAAAATGTTACATAACATAATTAACTAAATAAAATTCTACTATGAGAGAAAATGGAAGAAACAATCTTCCAACTTATAGGAGAAACATCAACACTAGTAAAAATGTCTAACATCATTTCTGCGATAAGAAACTCATAAAAACTAAAAAAAGGAATTGCACTTATCATGAGAATACACATGACATGGTGTTACAGAAAAAAAAATATAATTATGCAACGATTAAGAACCTCCTTCTACTGTAAGTATTACAGAATCAAATGTGTTACAAAATAGGTTCATTACAATAGATACGCGTCATGTCTTTTCTATATACAAAAGACAAAGACGCATACTTATACGGGTAACCTAAGAAGTACGACAAGTGATCGCTTATAGCTGAAGAAGTTTGCTCAAAATCATAATTACATTTATTTGTTCAAACACGTGGCACATATTACTCATGTTAACAATTTTTTTTTCAGTTTTTGTAAACTCCTTATTGCACAAATGATGTCAGATACTCTATTAGTGTGATGGTTCTCCTGTAAGTTAAACAATTATTTCTCTCATGTTTTGTTAGTAGAGTTTCATTACTTCATGTTATGAGGCAATTTTGCTTTCGACAATGTTTCCGTTTTTTTTACCCATTAAACTTATATAACAACTTCTTAAAGAAATACAAATAGTATTTACCACCTATATTGTTAGAAAATAGACACCAATGAAATTATCAACGTAACCATTTAATTCAAGAAATTAAGTACCACAAAAATAACCATTTGTATGACTCTTCAGAGTACATGCAATGATGTATTTAACTCATTGTCTACTAAATTTCATTTTCACAATCAATATGAACGACATTATTGAGATGCTATTTCAAAAAATTGTTTAAAAGTAACGATCTAATTCATTACTTTAACGATCTAATTAATGTTATAGTTAAAATCAACTCATGAAAAGATCTTCGTCAGTTTTGTGTGGATCTTTACAATCCAAATTCTTTTAGTTTCCCAAATAAACTAATTTTTCTTCTAAATAAAAAAGCATATAGTACCTTTGTTCGTATCGGAATTGCTTCATAATCCTGTTAACACTCTTGATGCATCTTCACCACCATCAACTATGGGCCCTGCACATTGGTACCTTCTTAAAACATTATAGTATTAGAAGATCAAAATAAACTCATTCTACTATCAGAAGATCAAAATCTAGAAACAACTTTACCACATCCAAGGCAAGTCTATAAACAAAACCTTTCTGCATGCTGCAGTTCAAACTTCAAACCACCTTCAAAGACCACTTTTCACTCATATTCCCCTCCTCACTGCATAAAATCAAAATAAAACATCTATCAAAACTTTTAGCACATAAACCTTTAAAAACAAAAAACCTTAAGCAATGGAAAAGTTGTTGTATTTTAGAATAGTTAAAACCATGACATACAATGCATGCAAGTGCATGCTGCCGGTTTTGAAGAATGCAGTGAAAGATGTATGGATCTTAGATTCACACAATACAACCATAGATATTACCTTTTCTTCACTCATTGAAAACCGCTCGAAATCTGTCCGCAGAAACTTAACTCCATCGATACATCTTGAACAAGAGCATCGATAGCGTGTTAAGAATGCAGAATGAAGAAATGTAGCGAACAATGGCATGCTTAAATGGACAAGAACTCGAATGCCCGATCCAGAACCACCAATTAAAACCTCTGCATGCCACAGTAAATGAAGGTCTTTTCCAAACTTGTCTTTATCCTTCACGTGATCTACCACTGCAACTTTCCCTTGCATCGAACAGTGTTTCCTACAGAAAGATTCCTTTCACAAGGTTTCAAAGACGGAAATTACGATGCCAATAGCTGCTGTCACTTTACAACGGTAGGTAGATGAATAAATTTACACTGTGCAACTTAATTATTTTCATGCAAACCATAGGTGGTGCTTTGGGATAATAATGGAAGACTGAATACCGGTTTGACTACACTTATTATGGTCATTAATTTAATTACACATATATCTATACATGCGCTCCTCCCGATTTAAATATTTATTACAGATTTTAAAATAAAATAATAAAAACACAATAATAATATAATATTAACAAAAATTTAATATTACAAAAGTGGGGAAAACGGAACTGTCCAACCTCAGAGTCATCCGTATTCAATATAACACGCGCAAACCCGAATCTACGTGAAATTACACGTTCAGTTCTATATGAATTCTGTAAAAATAATTTCTATACATGAAATTCGATCTCTTAAGATAAATAATTTTTCAAATAAATGTAATATCTATCAAAATTATAGTTTACTATTTACAACTTGTTTGGTACCAACAATAACAAAGAAAATAGTGAAAATACATAAAAAGATGAGTTTCTTTAACCGTTGAAAATCGAACAAATGAAAAATGTGTATAAGTAACATCTGACGAAATAAAACATTACATTGATAACTTGTCAGAAACTTTTTCTTGTAAAACTATTGAGAAAGGATATCCAACATCTAGAACATACATTTATATATGTTGTTGTTTCATTTGTTCTTCCTATTGAGACTATGAGAGAAAATTACTTTCTAAACTCACATTATTTAAGGTGGTTATTGTAAAAGGGAAATATACAAAGATAAAAACAAGGGTAAGCTAGTAGTAAAAAAATTTATCATAATAAAACAACATTACAACATGTTTTACACCTCACACAACATAATCATTCATCCTAAACATGCAACAAATTTAGACTTAACTATCCAGGTATACAATGAATGTCGAGCTAAAACATGTTCTACCCTTTGTGTGGTGGAATAGTTGACAACCATCAAAGCTACCACACAAGGTTAGTCTTTCAACATGCCCTTTGCCAGATGGAGAAAGGCCCTCAAGCTAGAAACACAGTGGGTTATGCACTTTTGTAGTGGAACAGCTGACAACCATTAAAGCTACCACACAAGGTCAATTTGTACCACATCTTAGGTCATACTAGAAGCATCTAGACTGAGGCCTCCTGTTACTCTCACCACATGACTCATCACTCTCTACTTGAGCATGGATGATATTAAAGTGTCAGGATAACCCATCAAAATTGAGCTTCTTACATTCATACTTACAATACTTGGAAGCCACCATTGAGAAGTTCCTCTTTGTAACTCTCTTCCATACCTTTGAAACCATGTACATATGTCACTTTACTTTCACATTGAATACCATCTTATATAATCTTTAGTCATACATCAAATACATACATAACTCCAAGAATAAACCATCATAGAATACTATAAATATTTCTACATCATCCTCAAAGTCAAAACATGGCTTAAAGTTATCATAAAACAAAGAAATATTCAAAACAGGTTCTGGACTAGTCGCTCAGTACACCAAACTCATTGTGCGAAAAAAGAAAAAGTGGGTTATGCTCACTCACCTCTCGCTCAACGGGGAGTTTGCTCAGCTATAAGTGTTTTGCTCGCTCAATGGACACTAGCTCGTTGTGCAAAAACAGTAACAGTGGGTTCTGCTCACTCACCTCTCGCTCAGCGAGGAGTTCGCTCAGCTAGAAGTGTTTTGGTCGTTCAGCGGGGAGTTCGCTCAGCGAGACTGCATAATTCTGTAGCATCAAATCTACAGAATTTGCACCCCTCAACCCCTCATGACCTATCCTATGCATATTTTCCAACTTCTAACACCCTTAGATTGTATTCTAGACTCAAATATACCTAAATAAATGTTTGTAAACCAACCTAAACACATTCTAAACTCATTTAACACAAGATTTCAAACTAAAATTTATCCAAACCTCACTTTAGATACCCAAATTGAATTCTACTAATTATGGCTTATTTTCAAACAACTCAGGGACTCCAACAAGTCCCAAATAACTTACTAACACCCTCCAAAAGGACCATTTAAGCACAGAACCCATAATTCAAATTCTCATTGGTCCAAACCCCCAAAAACTAGTTTTAAACCAAGCTAAACTTTACTTATCAACCACCAAACACTCTTACATCAAATTTCCTCCCTTTCAATGCTTAGACAAGTCACAAAACATCTCATAACAAACCCCAAATGCCTCAAACTAGTTTACCATCCTTTTCTTACCATTTCACTACCTAAAACCTCTTTTTTCCTTCAAAACACTTTCAAACTTCAACTATAAACCATAATCTTTGCTCCATATCAATTTTTCAACTATCTAAATCTTCTAACAAGTCTCAATTAACCACATAACAGTGCTAGACCAGTTCCCATATCACTCGAATACCAAACTCTCAATTTCACTCACCAAAACCCCTCTTTTAAGCTTGAAACTCAAGTAATTTACTCTCCATTACTCCAACCACTTTAAGATCACCATTTAAACCACAATACAACCTCCAAACACATAATTATAATAGTAAAACAATCTAAACATATCACACCGAGCATTCAAATGTCAAACCACCTTGGATCATCATTTAAAACTCAAACATCACTAGAACAACCAATACAAATACATGGAATTCATTTTATACTACGTAGATATATTAAATTCAGATCAACACAATAATCTAAAACAAGTTCAAGCTTCCCTTACCTCTCAAAGAAACTGCCAAACTCTAAAAATGCTTCGCCGATTACTTGAACTGCAAGAAATACCTAGACGAAGTTACGAAATACCAAATTGAAAACGGACAAAGTCCTTAGAATTCTAGATGAATCAATAATGTATAGGAGATGCATGATTACACGTGTAATAGTAAAATATTCCTCTAAAACAAATTTAGGAACTGAAGGGGAAAATGAGTCGAAACATACTTGCTCTATTGAAGAAACTGATCGGTTAGATTTGTAGACCTCGTTGCCGTTGTCGATTAAGTACCCCCTGTCAAATAGATGACTCAGGAGTTAGAACTCTTGGAGAGAAGATAAAGAACTTTAGAAAAGTGATTTCTAGAGAGATGATATGTTTTAAAATAATGAAACCCGTTTTTAACAAAACTATTTATAGTAAATCTATTTAACATTAAAATAATCGAGTCACACTATTTTTTTTAGACTACCACCAGTTTTAAAATACCATTTTTTCTAGGATTTTACATATATAAATAAATAAATATATATATATAGAGAGAGAAAATAATCAATATAAAATATTACTGTTTATAAAATATATTATTCTTTATTTGTTTCCGAATTTTTAAAATTTTTTCTGTCCAACTAAATAGTTCGTTCTTTATTTATTTGTTCACATTGTTTTCTCAGTTTCTTTTCCCCCATACAATTACATTGATCCGTAATGAAATACTGGGAGACGTAACTTCGTCACTCGCTCCTAACAGTATCAGTGGAAAAATAAGGACCCGGTCCTTTGACACTATGTTTTTATTATACTTCATTTCACATTCAAAAATATTATTATTTTATTTCTAAATTTCATTTATATTTATTTTTATATATTAAATATAATATTTTATTATTAAAACAAAGAATCAAATGGTAGTAAAAGAAAAAGTGGTGTGAAACTACATTTTTCCAAAAGATTTAATTATTCGGCGTGTTCCTATTGAATCTCAAATTGGTCATTTTTTTGGCGTTTCAATAAGTGTGTCCTTATTTTGTGAAAATTGTAATAATTAGACCTCTGTCTTTAAATCGGACCCAACAACGTTGATGGAATGTTGATGTGGCATGGTAATGTATGTTTTTAGTTGACGTGTATTACTGGGTCTACATGAATATTTAATTTAATTTTTAAAAAAAGAAATTAGAAAGAATGAATGAAATATTGGGAATAAATTGGGGATTCCATTTGTTCGAATTAAGGATTGGAAAAACTTCGTTATGAGATTGTAGGGTTGATGGAAATTGAGAATCAATTGCACAAATTAGGGTTTGAATTTGGGGATTTAGGGTTTTGGATGTGCAAGGGTTTTGTAGGTTAAATCGTGATGACGACACGATTTGAGATTCTAGAGTTTTTGCTAGTCTGTGATTTGGTTTAGTGCATGTTGAATCGTGAATATGAAACGAGGATGAAGCTGGCTTCGCGAATTGGTTTCGCGATTTGAGAGATTTTTCATAATTAGAAATTAAGTATTCAATTTAGAAAATTAGGGTTCATTCGCTGACATTGACAAAGTCGTAAGGTTCAACTCTTTAGACTACTTCAGTTTTTGTAAGGCTAGGAGAAAATGGCTTTGAAGGTTCAACGAAACAAGGCTTAGATGGTCTATGAATAGATACACTTGTGTCTGAGTGGGAAGGAGATTTTGGTGTATCTCTTACACGACGAGCGAATAATTCAGAAGATAATGATAGTTATGGGATCCTAAAACGAAATGACTTATTCCTTCCACAGAAGGAAAATGAGTGATGTTCTTGAGGTGTTCTAGCTTAATTAATGTTCTATGTTGTCATCCTTTCAAATAAAAAATATCGTCATTGCAGATAAAAGAAATTTCTCTTATCTTCTGCCATTGTGAGAAACCAACCGTGTATGGTAGGAACTTCTTTAAATAAAAATTATAATTTAAAATCGTTATAATATTTGTTAATCCATTGTAATTTTAATATTTAACATATCATGTTAATAAAGGTGGTTTTTAATTCAAATATTCCTTTTAACTCATGCTCTGCACTTTACTTTCCAGCATAATTTAATTGTTTTTTATTCACAATTCCAGCTATTACGATTGCTTTAAATGCACTTTATTATGCATAATTATGATTTTGTTTT